CAGAGCACTGTCACCCCATCAGCAGCATTTGCTCAAGAAAATAAACTCCGGATTAGTTTCGCCCTTCTGTGTCTCATCAGCAGAATCAGAGGCTGGCTGATATACTGCCTGTTAAACCAGATGTTATTGGTGATGACACTTCCTCTAAACAATGGGCTCCTCTATGAAAATATTATTGACAGTATACCGTGCTATATATTTTTAAAACGGCCGAAAATAAACATATTTATATAATTGTTTTCCTCGATAACTTTCAGTCCTCTTTCATGTACTATAGTCCCATTAAATGTAACTTATTGTTCGGCAAATCGACAAACGAAACCACCTTTTTAAGTTTACAATTTCCCAGGCTATGTTATAAGTCTGTGTGACCTGAGCATCGTGAGAGATGGGTGGCAGATTGGGGGAGGTCGTCATCCAGGAGTGGATCGACGATGGCTGATATCGACGATGATAGAGGTGCAGTTTGTTTGAGAAATACAAAATAAAGTTAGCTTGAAAAGATTTCAACTGAATTAAAAAATATATATTGGCATTCAAATGACGATTGCCACTACAAAGGAGAATCCCAGCTATGATTGTCTTCAGATTGCACCTCGGAATTTGGAGTGGGAGCTTCACCAACAAACACATTTGTACTAAATGATGCATGCTTTGCAGCACAATTTGTATTTGCCGCATTCCATCGACTTTACACTTCAAAGAGCAGAAAACGGCGACTCGAGTGCACTCTGCATGGTTTGCAGTGTTCAGTGTCACGTGTGTGTGCTTGCAGCATTTGGGACGCTGCCATGACGTGATAGGTCGTCATCACACTGGACTTGTCATGCAGATTATTTGGTGATGCTGCTGATGCTGCGGCGTTGGCAGTGGTTCACAGACAACAACAACAACAAAAACAAACAACACCTCAACACGTTCGTCAATAGTAATAACTGTGGCAATGGTTCTCCTTCGTAGCACGAAAGTAGAAAAGTGTAAAAGTCTCCAAGCGTTATCCACTCTCTCTGGCTTCTCTACGTTGTCCAGAGGTCACCTGTTAGATCTCCCGGCGTGGACGCGCTGACAGTGGGCGAGTTTCTCTGAAGGAGAGATGGTGCCCGACAGGTCCCTCGCCGTGGAGATGGAGCGATTACATCAGCTGGGGTGCAGGTGCTAAGCGGAATGACGCGTGAGAGATCAGATTCTTTATCTGAATCTTTATTTCGACTGGAGGAATCCGATGAGCTACAGAGATCTTCTTCACAGGCGTCCAGATGGTGACAGCTTCGAGAGGCCTGCAGCCAGCAGTGGACAGATCATGGCTGATCACAATGAGGCTCGGTAGCTCGAGAGATTGGAATTAAGACGTGGGTGGGGCGTGCGCGCAGATAGGGCAGGTTACCGAGACACTCGCACTCGTGTGGACGTGTGGAATTTCTCCCAATAGCTCAAGGGCCCTTCCGAGGGTGATGAGCGCCAAGGGACTGTACGGACTCTCGCGGTTCTGCTCAACCACGATGTCCGTTTCGCACCGCGGGCTGGCAGATGCTCCCAGCGCGTAGCGAGTTGTGCCGAACAGAAGCGACCTGGCTATCACAAATGATGGCTTATCACGTGGAAATTCGTAGCAGCCAAATTACTCTAAACGCGTAGATATGTTGATTCTAAATGTGGAGGGAACAACCGGAGGACCCGGAGAAATATCCACGTGACCACGGGGAGAGAGAGAGAGAGACACGCAAACTCCAAAAATACAGCAGGCGTCAGGGTTGGGATCGAACCCACGACCTCCTGTATACCTTGAGAGGTAATTAACACATCCTAGCCAGCGTGGCACCCAGCACGCGGGAACAACCCGAGAACACAACGCGCCCTACCACGCCGATCTCGTCAAAGAGCGTGAACCATCATCAGGCAAACTCCGGTCATCCGTGCAGCAGCAGCAGCAGCGGCTTTTGGATAACCATCAAACAAAGACGGTCACCGCATCGCGCGCTTTCAGATGCGCTTCTGCGGCCGTCTGGAACGCTCTTCCTTCTAGTATTAGGAAGCCATTGGAGCGATGCACTTTTGAATCTCGAACTAAAACTAATTTCTTGAGAACTGTTTTTTGTGTATAGTTTTTTTCGTCCTTCCCCCGCACCTCCGATTAGCACAGCTGGCTACGTACTGTGCGAAAGAAGTTAAATTTACATACATCACAGAGCTATGGAACAGCCTCGTTACTCCTTTGATGAGGAAGGCACTTGACTTTTGAATATAATTAGGTGTGGTTCATGCTTGATTCGTTGAAAGCTTTGACTATAATTAAGGTCCACTATTTCAAAAGGTGGAATAAAAAATAGTATACCATGAAGGAGTTTTGTTGCCAGTCCTGTCATATTATTTATGACGGAAACAAATACGAAAAAAACAATCTTGCCCCGAAATATCGAACCCCAGAGTAATTTTCACACGTAGATAGCAAGGCTGTCACTTTTTTTCTTGGGGGGGGGGGGGGGGGCATTCAGAGAAAATCACGTGACGTGTGAGCACATGTTGTGCTCAGGATGTCTCCCAGAATGTCTCCTCTGGTTTAAACAGCGACGGACTCGTAATCAATGCGCGCGCAGTGGGGAAATTCTTGGACCAGCTATCCAGGCACCGTTGTCTTTGGCGTTGTGGGCTGACGTGTTGAGCCGTGGAGGCCATGGGGCTTTGGGCCGTTGACAAGGCGCTGCTTACGCAGGTAAGCAGCGTCGAGCAGTGGATGTTTTCGCTATGTTGGAACAAGTTTGGCTCGTGTGCGTTCCCTTTGAAGTCTTGTGTGTGTGTGTGTTTTTTTTATCGCATTGCATTCGTAGAAAACACGCAAACACATTGATGAAAAAAAATTGTATTCCAAATTTGCATCGTGATAACAAACTCAAAACATTCGTCCATAACACTGTGGCCTTCAGAGGAAAAGTATATAAAAGGCGACGTTTCAGGCGATGGCCCTTCTCCATTGCCCGAAATGCCCCCCATGATGATATACTTTTCCTTTAAGGCCACCACTGTGTTATTGACGAACGTGTTCGGCCTGATTATTAATTGTGTTTGCGCACCGCCGCCAACGCAGCTCGCACCAAACATGTTGTTGTTCAACAGCGGTGGACAGTGACGAATAGGCGCTCCCGATTCTTCGGCTGTTTGCGCCTCTCTTGAGGTCAAAAGTCGCGCTCAGCAGCGCGCGCCGCGGACTCAGCAGACGTCACGGACTCTGCAGACGTCACGGACTCGGCAGACGTCACGGACTCTGCAGACGTCACGGACTCTGCAGACGTCGCGGACTCTGCAGACGCCGCGGACTCGGCAGACGTCACGGACTCGGCAGACGTCACGGGCTCAGCAGACGTCACGGACTCAGCAGACGTCACGGACTCAGCAGACGCCACGGACTCTGCAGACGTCACGGACTCAACAGACGTCACGGACTCAACAGACGTCACGGACTCGGCAGACGCCACGGACTCTGCAGACGTCACGGACTCGGCAGACGTCACGGACTCAGCAGACGTCACGGACTCAACAGACGTCACGGACTCAACAGACGTCACGGACTCAGCAGACGTCACGGACTCTGCAGACGTCACGGACTCTGCAGACGTCACGGACTCAGCAGACGTCACGGACTCTGCAGATGTCACGGACTCAGCAGACGTCACGGACTCAACAGACGTCACGGACTCTGCAGACGTCACGGACTCAGCAGACGCCACGGACTCTGCAGACGTCACGGACTCAACAGACGTCACGGACTCTGCAGACGTCACGGACTCAGCAGACGTCACGGACTCTGCAGACGTCACGGACTCAACAGACGTCACGGACTCAACAGACGTCGCGGACTCAGCAGACGTCACGGACTCTGCAGACGTCACGGACTCTGCAGACGTCACGGACTCAACAGACGTCACGGACTCTGCAGACGTCACGGACTCAGCAGACGCCACGGACTCTGCAGACGTCACGGACTCAATAGACGTCACGGACTCAGCAGACGTCACGGACTCAGCAGACGCGCTGCACAGGACGTGCACATGGAAAGACATGAATGTGCGTACGGATCCCCATGTCGCAGCAGCAATCTCAAGTTTGCAACAACAACAACAAAGGTTGAATCTCAAACACGAAAAAATATGTATCATTGACGAGCTACTTTCGCTCACGACTATCCCGATTGTCTCCGAAATAAAGTTGTTGGCTGCGAATCGGGATATACTGTTGATGGGCACATCAGCAAGTTTATGTTGGGGGGGGGGCCCGGGGCAAACCCCACACCGTGCCCCCCCCCCTCCCGCCGCGCCTTCAAACTAAACCTGAAGTGTTACATCTGACACCGTGACGTCGAAGCGCGGGACTCCCCCAAATGACGGGGCCCGGGGCGGTCACGCCGATTCGCCGTGTACCCCAGGGACGGCTCTGTGAGCAGTGGCAGAGCGGGCCGGGGCCAGGAGTCCGAGTGTGAAACACAGAAGAAGAACTCTTCTGTGACTCCAAGCTTCACGACACCGCCTTGGTGCCGATTCCACTGCAGATGCATCGTCCACTTGCGTCTACGCTTAACACATTCATGTGCTTTTTTTTTGTTCGGTTGTAAAGGAAACGATTGATGGATGCGGAGGGTCCGAGTCAAGCACTTACTTCTTCCTCTGCTTCACCATGCGACCGGCCCATATAAACAATCACACCACCACCACCATCATCACCATCAGACGTTTCGAGATTACACTTCTCCCGTTCCTCTCACCATGTCCAATGTAACTCTGCAACTCGCTCGTCAGACGCCGCCGCCGCCAACGAAGTTGTGCAGCTGCTGGGTGCCGTGCGTGTGGCGCACAGCACGCTGACACCGTGCCCAACACCCGGGCGCTCTCCCCCCTCTCCCCACCACCACCCACCCCGACCCAACCCCACCACTGCCGCCTCTCCTCCCCTCCACTCGTCTCCTATCAACACTCCCCCTGACCCACGTAGCCTGTGCTTGCTACACCACCACTACCACCACCATTCCTCGGCAGACGTTGTTCAACGCAGACGTCCCACACACCCCCACCCACCGCACCGCCCTTTTAAAGAGGCTCGCTCGTTATCAAGCCTCCACAAACGATTTATTTGCCTCTGACGTTGGTCGTGATTATACCTACACACACGCATATATAGTGTGTGTGCGCACATATAGTGTGTGTGTGTCAGGCGCGATGCCCAAGTTGTCCGAACGTTATTGTCTCTCTTAACGGGGGTTGGTTCAACTCATCTTGACAAGTTCAAATGAAGGAAGAGATAATGTATGAGCTATGTGACCACAAGATGTACATGCATGTGCCGTGCAACACGAGACGACAGGTAACGTTGTCGGTTGCGTTCAATCGTCACCTTTCGCTTTGACGTTGCTTCGTTGTGAACGGCTTACCCTCAAACACGCCACTTTTACGTTACCTGCTCCGAGTTACACGTTTTTATCCACTCGATATAATCCGTAAACGGTTACTGTGACAATTATGTTATGGTTCCTCTCTCCCCCACTCAAAATAAATCGGTTTAACTCTGTTAAATGTGGCAAAGTGTTTAAAGAATACTTGTGTGTGTGTGTAAGTACTGTATAGCATTATACCCTTTATACAAATGCCTTGTTATATATTTAATCTGGAATGCAGAATTTCACACGCAACACTGAATTGTATTTATAGACGTCCCCATAAATGCACTGCGTAGTTCAAACAACATAGCAGGCATACGGCTTCCTAAATTTGACATCTTTCCGTGATTTTTAATGTTCGGCTAATAATAACGTGAAGTTAATGTATCATGTAGTTGCAATATGTGGTGTTCGTGGTTAGGTCTGGGTGCTTGCTCACAGTACTCGCCCGAACAATGTGTACGTAAACCACCCTGATTATAATTTTTGTGGTATTACTGCATGTCATTTTGTGTCAAACTCGGACCCGTGCCGTAAAGAGAGAGAGATACGGTGGTTTCACCAGCGTTGATTCGAGCAAGCGTGACTGCTGATGAGCAACTGTGTGTCAAAATCCGTTCACATTTTCTTGAACTTCTTTCCGCACTGCACGTAGCTGGGTAAAACAGTACCAAATCACGTTGCTGAACGTAGTCACTCTTGTCAGGAGGTTGTGCGGCTGATGAGTTGTGCAAGACATTTTTTATTTTTGCTCTGTGGAGAGACGAATATGTGGAGGGGAGACATTGCTTATTTATTTTATGCATCGACATGTGGGGGAGGGAGGGGGTGCCTTGGGTGAGTGTAATTCTAACCCCCACCTCGGCTTCAATTCGTATCGTCCAGAGGAAGAATAAAGAGAAGCGATGGCTGATGACTTTCCTTCTGGTGGTGGGACTGTTGCTGGTGGGCGCCTTCCTTCTGCTGCCACTCTTCTGGGATTCGGAAAGCCAGGGCCAGTCTGAGTTGTCGGAAGGGGTCATCGCAGTGTGTGAGGACTCGTGCAGGTACTGCGCGTACGTGACGCCTCATTGCTGGTGGTGGTGGTGGTTGTTGTTGTCAGGGCCTCTCATTCGATATTTTGCGACGATGACAAAAAAAACACCGCTTGCAGTCTCGTTGCAGGGATTATCGACAGCAAGGCAACGACTTGCCGCTGGAGTTTAGAGTACGGTACACAAGTATAATCCGATGAACAGGTTTGCCAAATCTATAATATAAGTGTTTGGGTTCGATCGCGTAAACCACATGTGTCGTTAAACCCAGTACCACCCGACACAGCCAATTAATAAGGTTTTTCACGTCAACAGAACAATTCGTTACTAGTACAGCACACCGGTGTGTTGGAGAGTAAATCCACGATAATTACAACCTGAGTACGACGTTTCGTGAGTAATTGCAACTATCATCATCTGGCGACAGCTAGATGATGATAATCTGATGATGCTAATCTGGCTGTCGCCTAATGATGATAGTTGTAATTTCTGGCGAAACGTCGTACTAGAATTGTAAATGTTGTGGATTTACTGTCCAACACACCGGTGTGCTGTACTAGCGACGAATTGGCACGTTCTGTTGACGTGACAACCCTCACTAGTTGGCTGTGTCGGGTGGTGGCGGGTGTACCGACACATTTATATATTTACGCGATCTAACCCAAAACACTCTATTATGGATAATGTTGGTCGCGGAAGCCTATGTGTTAAACTGAGGTTTATAAAAGTTAGATGCAGTGCCGTGAGGACAAAGTAAGACGATATGGATGTGGCAACAACATCCCTGGAACAGCGTCCCCTGACTGTTCTGGATGAAATTAAGCACTGAGTTTTTTTTGTTTCATTCTCAAGTGTCCACCGGCAATCCGGCCTCCAATGATTCGCTCCCACCAACCCCCCTCAATTCGATAAATGATGCCGGGGTAAACAGTTTGACTCAAGAATTGATTATTATATTACATTTTACATTGTGGTGCCACCACCCGACACAGCCAATTAGTAATAAGGTTTGTCACGCGAACATCACATTCCAATTCGTTACGAGCACCAGCATATCGCTTGTGTGTTCAAAAGTAAACGCACAACATTTACAATTTATATTAACGCGATATAATCCCCCCAAAAAACCTCGTGGATAATATCGGTCGCGAAAGCCGGCGTGTTAAAGATAAAGTTGCAGCCCTGCAGTGTCTTGCTCACTCCGCTGATGGTGGAAAGCCCCCCCCCCCCCCCGCCTGTGCTCATTCAACAGAGGAATCGCAAAACCTCCACGAACTCTCTCCTAAAGTCACCGCTCTCTCTCTCGCTCTCCTCGTGGCCAGCAGACATTGGCATCGAGCTCCTGAGCAGATTTCTGCCATTGTGCCCAGGGATAAGGGAATCGCGAGCAGCCTCACATCTGCCCAGTCAGCGAGGTGCTGCTCGTGCTATGGACGAGCGCAGCTTCTGTTATCGGGGTGCGACCTTTGGTAGCCTGGCTGTGTGGGAGGCTGTGCCGGAAACGCGTTCCGAATCTAGCCTTGCGGGTGGTGTCATCTATTCGTGGCAAATGGGACTATACATTCTTGCTCATATATTTGACATTGCCTTTTTTTTTGCGTGCAATAGCAGCACCAGCAGCACCAGCAGCGGCGGCGGCGGCGGCGTCTCTGTTATCGTGTTAGGCACACGCAGAGGGGTTCACGCGCACCGCGCCACTCCCAGCCACGCGTGGTGCGTGGTGGTCTCCTGTTCCCTGAACAGTCCCCGTGGACGTCCATGGGCAGTTGGCCAGGGCGCGGCGAGGAAGCTGGCGCAGGCGAACTGTGGGAGTTGCCGCGGGTGGGGAGGTCGGGGGTCCAAACGGTGGCTCGATGCCCGGCGCTGTACGCAACCCTCCCCGCCTCCCAGCCCACACGCCGATTGATTAAAGGCAATGCAATAGACGAGCAGAAGGGCGCCAATCACTTGGCCCCGTAATGTTAGTAGGAGTGGGGCCATCATCGACAACCAATGTCTGGGTCCGTGTAGGTTGCTTCCCATCTGGAGTTCCCCTCCCAGTCTCTGAATTCCCTTGCGGCTTCGGGGCTTGTGGTCCGTGAGTGCGGGGTGCGCTACCAGGTGTTACATCTCGTTGTCCTTCCTCCGCACCACCGATTAGCACGGCTACGTACGGTGCGAAAGAAGTTCAACATACTTGATGATGATGGTGAAGATGTGATTTGTATTTAAGCACAATTCACATCACAGCTCTGAGTGCACGGGCTGGTGTCATATCGAACACATTATTACTACTCGTTGGTGAAATTCAAGGTACAGACGATAATAATAATAATGAGGGTTAATATAACATTAACGTAAAATGTTTCATGATGTACAAAGATTGCATTGACATTAGTGCCCTGTGCCAAAAAGCCAGCTTTTTACACGGCCAGCGGCTGCCGTGTGGCAGGGGGATGGAGAGGGATGGAGAGGGTGGAGAGGGTGGAGAGGGATGGAGAGGGTGGAGAGGGTGGAGAGGGTGGAGAGTGATGGAGAGGGTGGAGAGTGATGGAGAGGGTGGAGAGGGTGGAGATGGTGGAAAGGGTGGAGAGTGATGGAGAGGGTGGAGAGGGATGGAGAGGGTGGAGAGTGATGGAGAGGGTGGAGAGGGATGGAGAGGGTGGAGAGGGTGGAAAGGGTGGAGAGTGATGGAGAGGGTGGAGAGTGATGGAGAGTGATGGAGAGGGTGGAGAGTGATGGAGAGGGTGGAGAGGGATGGAGAGGGTGGAGAGGGTGGAAAGGGATGGAGAGGGTGGAGAGGGTGGAGAGGAATGGAGAGGGTGGAGAGTGATGGAGAGTGATGGAGAGGGTGGAGAGTGATGGAGAGGGATGGAGAGGGATGGAGAGGGTGGAGAGGGATGGAGAGGGTGGAGAGTGATGGAGAGGGATGGAGAGGGTGGAGAGTGATGGAGAGGGATGGAGAGGGTGGAGAGTGATGGAGAGGGTGGAGAGGGTGGAGAGGAATGGAGAGGGTGGCTAGTGATGGAGAGTGATGGAGAGGATGGAGAGTGATGGAGAGGGATGGAGAGGGATGGAGAGGGATGGAGAGGGTGGAGAGGGATGAAGCGGGTGGAGAGTGATGGAGAGGGTGGAGAGTGATGGAGAGGGATGGAGAGGGTGGAGAGTGATGGAGAGGGATGGAGAGGGATGTAGAGGGTGGAGAGGGATGGAGAGGGTGGAGAGTGATGGAGAGGGTGGAGAGTGATGGAGAGGGATGGAGAGGGTGGAGAGGGTGGAGAGGGATGGAGAGGGTGGAGAGTGATGGAGAGGGTGGAGAGGGTGGAGAGGGTGGAGAGTGATGGAGAGGGTGGAGAGTGATTGAGAGGGTGGAAAATGGTGGAGAGTGATGGAGAGGATGGAGAGTGATGGAGAGGGTGGAGAGGGATGGAGAGGGTGGAGAGGGTGGAGAGTGATGGAGAGGGTGGAGAGGGATGGAGAGGGTGGAGAGTGATGGAGAGGGTGGAGAGGGTGGAGAGTGATGGAGAGGGTGGAGAGTGATGGAGAGGGTGGAAAAGGGTGGAGAGGGTGGAGAGTGATGGAGAGGATGGAGAGTGATGGAGAGGGTGGAGAGGGATGGAGAGGGTGGAGAGGGTGGAGAGTGATGGAGAGGGTGGAGAGGGATGGAGAGTGATGGAGAGGGTGGAGAGGGTGGAGAGGGTGGAGAGTGATGGAGAGGGATGGAGAGGGTGGAGAGGGTGGAAAGGGATGGAGAGGGTGGAGAGGGTGGAGAGGAATGGAGAGGGTGGAGAGTGATGGAGAGTGATGGAGAGGGATGGAGAGGGATGGAGAGGGTGGAGAGGGATGGAGAGGGTGGAGAGGGTAGAGAGGGATGGAGAGGGTGGAGAGTGATGGAGAGGGTGGAGAGGGTGGAGAGGGATGGAGAGGGTGGAGAGGTGGAGGGATGGAGAGGGGGTGGAGAGGGGGGGAGAGTGATGGAGAGGTGGAGAGGGATGAGAGGGGGGAGGGTGGAGAGGGTGGAGAGGGTGGAGAGGGTGGAGAGGGGATGGAGAGGTGATGGAGAGGGTGGAGAGGGTGGAGAGGGTGGAGAGTGATGGAGAGGGTGGAGAGGGTGGAGAGGGTGAAGAGGGTGGAGAGGGATGGAGAGGGATGGAGAGGGTGGAGAGGGATGGAGAGGGTGGAGAGGGTGGAGAGGGATGGAGAGGGTGGAGAGGGATGGAGAGGGTGGAGAGGGATGGAGAGGGTGTAGAGGGATGGAGAGGGTGGAGAGGGATGGAGAGTGATGGAGAGGGTGGAGAGGGTGGAGAGTGATGGAGAGGGATGGAGAGGGTGGAGAGTGATGGAGAGGGTGGAGAGGGATGGAGAGGGTGGAGAGGGTGGAGAGGGATGGAGGGGGTGGAGAGGGTGGAGAGTGATGGAGAGGAATGGAGAGGGGTGGAGAGGGTGGAGAGGGTGGACAGTGATGGAGAGGGTGGAGAGTGATGGAGAGGGTGGAGAGGGTGGAGAGGGTGGAGAGTGATGGAGAGGGTGGAGAGGGTGGAGAGGGTGGAGAGTGATGGAGAGGGTGGAGAGGGTGGAGAGGGATGGAGAGGGTGGAGAGGGATGGAGAGGGTGGAGAGGGGGATAGAGAAGGATGGGCGCCTCAAACAAGGTGGGCATTTGGAATGCGTAAACATCTCCACTCGGAAGAGACAAAGGCGGGCCCCGGCGTGGCTGCTGCCCACCTTACACCCCCCTCGTGTGGCCGTGCCGGCCGGCATATGCGCTGCTACTCGCTAGCAGCACTTGCCACGACGGTCTGCTCAGGGGTGGGGGTGGGGATCTTTGTCGCGTGGCAGTGCCTCGCTGATGGAGAGCGTTCCTGACGGCATGGCGTACGGCCCCAACGCGTCCATGCTGCTGTCACTGCACCCGGGGTGGACGCGGCTCGCTCGCTCGGCCCAGCGCACGCTGCAGGTGGCCTCCTTCTTCTGGACCCTGACGGCCAGCGACCTCGGCCTCAACGAGAGCAGCGCGCGAGAGGTGACCACCCCCCCCCACCACCCCGCGCCAACTTGTGCCCCGCTCGTCTGGGGTTCTTGGTTTGCTTTTTGTCAGGTTGGCACGGAAGAGGCTTTCGCGAGTAATGTCATCCATAATATATTTTTTTCATGCGGTTAGATCGCGTAAATATATAAATGTGTCGTTAAACCCGCCACCACCCGACACAGCCAATTGGTAAGGTTTGTCACGTAAACAGAACGTGCCGATTCTTTACTTGTACAGCACACCGGTGTGTTGACGAGCAAATCTACAACATTTACAATCTTGCTTTAGTGGTGGTTTTCAGGGGGCCAGCTACCTAACAGCTGGTGGTGGGGGGGGGGTCTATACAAGATCCGACTGTGCCCCCCCCCCTCCTTTCTCCCGACTCGCTTTTACTGAAATAGCTGCGGATGGTTTTTAACCCCACGTAACAATAATATGTAGGCTACAACTATATATTATTGTTCTAAGTTTTAAAAATATTATTTTTTTCCCTTAACCTTTATCACTCGTTTATTTGTTGATTCGGGGCCCCCCTTGTGGCCGACTAGGTTCCTGTGTGTCGCATCACGCTGCCCCCCCCCCCACCACAGTAGCCCCTCTGGTGGTGCAGTGTGTGTTTGTGAGTCGGGGGGAGCACAGCAGGCGCGCCTGACAGTCATCTCAGTCAGCCAACCCATGGCACCTGCTGGGGCTGTCCCGTGACCTCACGTCGGCGAGCCTTCGACACTCTCACGTGGTTCTCAAAGTGCACGTGGCCTGGCACAGGCGCCGTGGTGGCGTCGCCGTCACTTAGTGGCGAATAGCGGCTGTGTTGGTATTGGGGGAGCGGTGGGGGAGCGGTGGGGCAGCACTTGGCACGCGCTGCGCGCCTACGAACCCGGCCACCCGAGTTCGAGTCTCTCTCTCACGGCCAACATCGGTGACGGCTCCCTCGGGCCTCCCTTAGGTCGACTCAGTTTCAAATGAGTATGCACTTGGTGTGACGTGTAAACACCGCCACAAGGGAGACAAAGGCGGCCGGGCGTGGCGCTAGTCACGCACACCCGCGTGTGCTCGCTATATTCGAATTCCATTTGTCATTGGCTTGTGCGATCAGAACTTTCTCTGAACAGACGATCACCTCTGTAAGGTCGCTTGCATAGCAGTGAGCTTGCATCTTCCCAGGATGGCTGGCCCTGGTGGTCTGGTGCATCATTACGCATTGCGTATGCATAGCAATACAACGATCATTTACATAAAACTAGGAAACACGAAGAGGAATTTGCCCCCTTCTCAAACCGAAGCCAAGAGCCGCCTCTGACCCAGCCCTGACACAGCAGGCACTGCAATGGAGTGAAATATGGTGACTGCTGTTATTTTTATATTGCTTCACAGTTGTTGCGTGGGGTCGTTTTCTTTTGTTAAATATCAAACGCACATACCGGAGAGATATACTCAGATATGCACGCCTCATTTACGAGGTTGTCCCAGCCCTTGCAGGAGAAAGGTTCACGTCCAGTTTTAGCCAGGGGCAAGCGTTTTTGCAAATGCCAAGAATTCTGGGCTGTGACACACCACCAGGATAGTTCACCACTCTTGCAAATCATGTCACAGTATCTGTCCCTCGGCTTATTACCGTGCAGATATGGGAACGTAGTATTCCGATTGCCGCCAGAGCATTAATATCTCCAGACTTAATATGGTTCAGTGGCAAGGTCCCAATCACACACTTCTCTGCAGACTAAAATTAGTTAATTGTGCACATACAGATCTATTTTATCTTACATATTTGTCTTGTAGACAGAAATCTAATTACAATTTAAAGTACACATCCACAAGGTAATCAGTTATAGCTACTAAGTACATTAATTTTTTTCCTTCATGAATGCTTTGAGCAGTTCCAAAAAATAACTCCTTTAAGTTGGGTATCATCATCATTTACCATTACCATGGTCAATCCACTGCTGGATAAAGATGCCTCTAAGCCGCCACAACCTATCGTCATCCTGCGATGGCGACAGGTTGTGTGTGGCTGGGGGTTATCTGACTGTACTTCTTCACGCTGGCCAGTGATGGTTGGTGAAGGTGTAAGGGAGCTCCAGGTCAGATCAAATATCACGAGCCGCTAATATTCGCCATGACCGGGAATATAACTCCGATTGGCGGCGTCACAGCATGTCTGCATGTTGAACCTCCTTCACACCGTACGTAGCCAATCGTGCTAATCGGAGGTGCAAAGTGCAGTGCTCCAACTAAAATGATATTACTTTAAAAATGTTGATAGTGTTCTACAGTGCAGTATTTTCAAAGCATCTGCCATAAAAAAAACACACTTGTAGTTATTTTACTTTTTCTGCCACAATATTCTTTATTAAACACACGAGTGCTGTGTGTGTGTTTTTTTTTACAGTTTTTCTAAATTATTCATTTACACATAGAGACAAACGAGTTAGAGAATTTCCAATGTGTAAAGTCATTGTGCTATGCCCTCTACGCCGTCCGCAATGTCAACAAGTCACACTTTCTCTCGGTGCAATGATGTTGTTTTAAAGTCACTGCTTCCTTGCAGGGAAAAGACCTCTTGGATCTGCTGCTATCGCTGCCTTCCAAGGGTGTAGCGGTTTCAGCCGTGTCTAGCAACAGCATCGTTTCCGAAAGCACCGACTTTGCTAACCTCACAGCCGCAGGTACACAAAGCCTAACGAACACCCACCTTTTGATTTAAAGCTTTCGTGACTGCAGGGATTCATATACTTGGTTCTTTCGGTAAAGTCACGTAGAAGGGAAACAATAAAATAATAAAAATATAAAAATAAAATTCTCACAACATTTCGACCGCAACACAAGCAGTCATCATCAGGTGTGTTGTGGTTTTCACACCTGATGATCACTGCTTGTGTTGCGGTCGAAACGTCGTGAGAATTTTATTGTTTTATATTTTTATTATTTTATTTGTTTCCCTTCTACGTGACTTTACTGAAAGAACCAAGAATATGAACACCCACCTGTTAAATGTCTCCATCAGAGAGAAAGTCATTCTCGAGGTCGCCAACATTTTTCACTAAAAGAAACGACCTTGTTGGTGTTTTAAGTTTCGTTTCGTAGCATACCACAGTGGTGGATTAATGTGAGTCAGTGGCAGATCCTGTGGCCTCGAAATCCACTGCAGAGGAATTTGTGTTTTTGTATTTGTCGGCTCTGAGACGTGCCTTCGTGTTGTTCGGCACAGTGTCCGACGTTTCCATGCACGCGCTGGAAGCTTCTTGAGGAACTGAATATAAATCACCCCCTGAATCCAAATCAGTTTCCTAAAACAAGCTGCCGACGGCACATGGAAACAAAACGTCGGACATCGTGCAGAACGACACGCGGCACTACCCAGGCACGCGACGGGGAGCTGGCATGACCCAATGCATAATTTGACCATTTTAAGAGGGGCTCAGCAAAGTCCGGAATGCTGACTGCCAGTGAAAGACGCGAACCATATTGTCCCCGAGGAACAGGAGCGATTTTTAGGCGTGAAACGACGATTGGTTATTTTGTTAACAATGCCTGCATAAACGTATTCGGCGACGTAACGTATCACTGTATTTATAACGTATGCAAATGATTTGCACATTACACAATAATATACCTTTAGGCTAATGGAATGAGAAACGTAGACCAGCCTAGACAGAAAATATGAGACAGACAATACAAATGAGACATAGTTTAAAAAAAAATCCGCCAAAATATTAAATCCTGTATTAGAATCATGACCTCAAATCGTGGCAATTAATTCCATCGTCGGGGAAAGTGAATTGATGATAATAATTATAAATTACATTTATAAAGCGTATTTCTAATGTGCACTCAAGGCGCTGCCTTGAATTGATTGCTGTTGAGTAAGTTGGTGATGCTGGAATTTGGTCAACACTAAAGTTTAATTAGTGCAGTATTTCTTACCCCCTGCCAAGTACGCGCAACACCATGCCTTTGACACGATTGCTCCCAGCATACAATGAAGCTAAGCCCAATTTTGGAAGGAAACATTTCGACGATGAAACTACCAGCGTGCAAAAGTGCGTGACTGATTACATGCAATGTATGGCTGCACGACACAAATGCAATTACTCGGAGTATATATGCATTAAATTTCGATGTAAAGCTTTCGTGACTGCAGGGATTCATCTTCTTGGTTCTTTCGGTAAAGTCACCACGTAGAATGGAAATAAAATAATACAAATAAAACATAAAATTCTCATTATGTTTCATTTTTATTATTTTATTTCCATTCTACGTGACTTTACCGAAAGAACCAAGATGATATATATGCATTGTAAATTGACGGTTGCAAAGCCCTGTGTTTTATGAGGCATTGTCTCAACGCTCAATTCGTTATCTCACATGATGATGATGATAAAAAATAAAAGTGTAACTCTCTTGCCATCTCTTGTCATCACAGGAGCACAAATGAGGCATACTTTAAGCAGAGCAACTTAGGAATATATAACTTAGAAAAGTATCATTTGGTAATTTATACTTTCGTGGTATTTATTTTCTGGTGATTACACGCAGCACTGTGGAGGTTGTTGAAATACACAAAGGTTGTGAAACACTCTACCTGTGTGATTTAAGGTGCCATCCCCTGGCTTGCCAGGATGAGGCAGCACAGCAAGTTGACTTTTCTCCATCTTTACGGGAATAGAGCGTTGCCCCCTCGCGCGCGTGGATTTTCTGCACGTGCTCCGGTTTCCCCCCACACTCATAAACACTCGGAAATTGGCTGAAAACATTACAAAAACATTATTTGCAGGATCCTCCTGAATTCGAGTCCACGGACTCGTATTTCTGGATAATTAATAATATAATTCTTATTAATATTATTACGAATGCGGATGGTTTCGAGGTTTAAATTGTCGACAAAACCAAGCACGCTGTGTTGACATGTGAAGAGATGCGCTCACACACCGAGCTACAGCTGCTGCTCGACATGCGCGTGCCGTGGGGAGCGGCGGCGTAGCGGTTAGCGCGTTGCGCTACAAACCTGTCGTCACCAACACCGGTGGCGATAATCCGAACCGGTCCTGGGCCTTCTCTAGGCCGACTCAGTGTTAAATGAGTACCTGGTGCAAACAGGTACTCAACAATCAACACTGCGGTGACAAAGGCGGCCGGGCGTGGTGTTGGCCACCCCACCACCTCGTGTGCTGTGCCGGCCTTCAAGGGGGGCTGGCTGACAGCACTCATCCTAGCAGTCTGTTAAGGCTACACGGGGACCGTTGTCTTGTCGTGGTGCAGGAGCGCAGACCCGCGTGGTGGACATGTACCGACTGACAGGAGGGGTCATGCACAGCAAGATCTGGGTGGTCGACAGGAAGCACATCTTTATTGGGAGTCCGAACATGGACTGGCGAGCCATCACCCAGGTGCCGGATTTTCCAAGGCAACACCGCCTCCCCCGTTCATGAAATAATGACACCAATTTACAGCTGAAACAGTTTCACTTTAAAAGAAAAAATACGATTGTGAAGAAAAAAAAGGGATAGACCAGTTGTCTTTCTTGACCTCGTCTAATTATGTAGTCATAAGATTATGTCCAAGTACAGTTATTGTTCTTCTTTATATACATACAGCATATTCATGTGTTAGAAGGAGCTGAGGCTCTTACATTTAGAAGTGTTACATGACAGCGGTACACAACTGGATTCGCAATGCAGAGGTTCGGCAGCTCAAACGATGGGGCAAGTTTCTTAAATGCCCCCCCCCCTCCAGCCCATCGCTTCTGTCCACCCAGCGGAGCGAATGGATTCACCTGAGTTCCGGAACAGAACATAATTCCAGGCTACTACCGCCATACATTTCGTGTAGTACTGTAAAGCCTGTTCATTAATCAGAGGCACTCTGCCCCCTGCCTAGGTGAAGGAGCTGGGAATTGCCATCTACAACTGCAGCTGCCTGGGAGAGGACCTGGCCAAGGTGTTTGAGGTGTATTGGCTGCTCGGCCGCCCAAACGCCACCATCCCAGCCCACTGGCCCGCAAACCTGAGCACCACCATCAACAAGGAGAAGCCACTGCAAGTGCGCCTCAATGGCACGCCCACCGAGATATACATCTCTGTGAGTGCAGCAACACCACCGGGAACATCATCGTCATTATCGTCACGTACACACGTTTCAGCACACTTACCAGCCAGCGTATGACACAGTGCACATTACCATCGTGTATTATATTATGTAATGCCATTTATAGTCCTTTGTCAATCCACTGCCGAATGACGGCCTCACCATGTTGTGCCGGTCGGGTGGGGGGGGGGGGTGTTGTTGAAGAGAGGGGGCCCAGGACTTGTTCAGATTTCACTCACAACCGATGTTCATAATTGTCCAGGAAGCAAACGCAGGCTTCCTGGAGCAGTGCAATAACCACTGCACCATCACTCCACCCCATGATTGGGTAACATCATAACTAGAACAAGTGTACTGAGAGTTACGGTAATTTATAAACCACGTTAACACTAAACTAAGCCTGAATATTCCATAAGGTTGTATGTCAATATAACACAAAGGTATATACAAATTTACTTTGTTACAAATTACATAAATTGTGATTGATGATGACAAAATAATGACCGATGACCAAGAGTAATGATGTGAGTGGCAGCCAAGGAATGGAATTAATGCAGCGATTAAGGCTGCTTGGGTCGGTCTCCATCCACCAGAGGGATGACCACGAATGACGATACTGATGATGTAGAATCACGCATGAACCCACGGCACAGGCGCCGTGATGAGGTCACCGTCACTTAGTGACGTCACCGTCACTTAGTGACGGTGACGTCACTTGGTGGCAATTTACGGAGTGCCCTTCGCAACAAATGTTTGCCCACATGACCCATTGACCTTTCGCCTCTTACGCAGAGTTCTCCGCCGAGCCTGTGTGCCACGGGGCGCACCTCCGACCTCGATGCCATCTTGAGCGTCATCGACTCCGCCCGGACGTTCGTGCACATCGCCATCATGAACTACTTCCCCATCAAGGAGTTCCACACGCTTCCCAGGTGCTTCTCAAAAACAAGCGTAGCGCCAAATCCGCTCACGCTCGGCTTTGTTGCCGGATAGCCCTTGTGGCCAAACCGAATCGGGGGCGTTGTCTCTTTAGAATCCGCATCTGCCCAGCTCAAGGGTTGGGTGACAGAATTATTTTTCAATCACATTTAAAAAAAAGTATATAAACGAACAACTTAAGGTAGCCATCCTTGCATTGAGCAATTACAATGAAATGCAACCTGTGTGTATAAATAAGCTATATGTTGCATCAACATATTTTTAAATAGACAGCTCTTCTTGTCAATAATCGGATTCTGCTTAAAAGAACCACAGTTTACAAATGTGTGAAATAAAGCATCCCGTATTTGATAACAACACACATCTGAACAAAATCCTGTCCGTGCGCAGATCGTTATCTCCATGGGAAAAGAACAACGTTTACTTGTTTGAGGCATTTACATCCAGGTGGCCCAGTTGAGAATGACACATCCTGTTCCTCGTAGTAACACAAAAATTACAGCCCTTTGTCAATGTGGTGCCGGATGTCGGCCTCCCCAAACTGTGCCGAGCTTGGGCGCTCTTTCACCACACGTCACAACGCAAAATTAACTCCCAGAAGTCTGTGTGACCGATGCGATGTGTAAAACAAGCCATTTAGTTGTTGTGATTTAAAGCTTTCGTGACTGCAGTCATTCATATTCTTAGCTCTTTCGGTAAAGTCACGTTGAAGGGAAGCAATAAAATAATAAAATATATATAAAACAATAAAAAATTCTCACGACGTTTCGACCATAACACAAACGGTCGTCATCAGGTGTGTCGGTTTGCATAATTTATGCAAACGTGACTTTACCGAAAGAGCTAAGAATATGAATTTAGTTGTTGTTTGTTCTATGCTGAGGGAAAGATGTGGGCACGAGTGCGAATTGGTTGCTTTTATTTGGGCTCACCACCTCGGTCGGTGTGGGTTGGTGCAGAGGCGACCCAGGGCTGCTTCATATATCACTGAAGCAGTCCTGGACAGGAATCCAACTCCGGTTGCCGTCTTCCCAGTGGTAGGATGACATATAGTACAAGTTTTGATTTAAAGCTTTCGTGACTGCAGGGATTCATATTCTTGGGTCTTTCGGTAAAGTCACGTAGAAGGGAAACAATAAAATAATACAAATATAAAACAATAAAATTCTCACGACGTTTCAACTGCAACACAAGCAAACATCATCAGGTGTGAAAACCACAACAAGAAAATTTTTCACATTTTCGAAACGTCGTGAGAATTTTATTGTTTTATATTTTTATTATTTTATTGCTTCCCTTCTACATGACTTTACCGAAAGAACCAAGAATATATAGTACAAGTTCTCTACTTATACTGCTTACACTTGTAGTAGGGAAGCCTTGAGTTGCTACCACTGAGATCTTGAGTTTGAATCCCCGCAGCTGCCTGCTGTTAAATTTGGTTCCCAAGTGCCGTGAGCTGATGGTCTCAGCCTGGTCACAAGTGGACCGCACAAAACACCATCACGTTCAATTCAGTTCTGCACTTAAATTTAGCTCAAGTCCAACTTCACCGTCACGTGACAAAATCTGCTCTCAGTGACGGAGCGGGTGGGAATGTGCTGCCCTCTACTGTGCGAAACACCTCAGGATTGTCGGAGGCAGCTCTGCGGCATCCACTTCCGTGGGCCAATTTCTAATGTGAAGGGGTCGCGCTGCCCTGCGGGAGAACCGTATCTCGACGTGACGCCGATTGCGCGACCCGGATACCCAATTGTATATCCACTGCAAAGCCCAGGGGGGTTACACAAAATAAAACCCAGAGGCGCTAACCGGCAGCGCCGCTCACTCGCCAGGTACTGGCCGGCTATCGACGAGAGGCTGCGCCGCGCGGCCTACGAGCGGCGCGTCCACGTGAAGCTGCTGGTGGGCTGCTGGCACTACACGCGCACCTCCATGTTCATCTTCCTGCGCTCGCTGCAGGCGCTCTCCGACAACTCCACGGGCTGCGACGTCGAAGTGGTGGGTAGTGGCGGCGGCGGCGGCGGCGGCGGCGTCCTAGACCATCGTCCAGCAGTTTGTTAGCCAGGGGTGCCCCCCCCCCCCCCTGCCCGCAATCACTTGCTCACGCCACCGCTGGCCAAAGAGTCTCTCGGTAGAGGGAGCCTCGAGATACTGCCTCTAGACGAGGGCATTTGGATTCATTTTTTCACGTTGATCAGAAAGCTTGGATATGGTGGGGAGTACCCACGCTTTACTCCACCACGAATGAGCTGCCGGTCGACTAACTGTCGTACACCCATTTATACTGCCGGGGTAGGGATTTAAGAGACTTGACCATTGCATCACGGGGGACTTGGCAGCCATGTGGATAGCCTCGTGGGTAAACATCATTGCTGGTGAGCTGAAATGCAGAGTTGATGGTTCATTTCCCATAATAAATGCAATCATGTGATGGGGGCATTCAGGAACATTTGCAGACAATGTTATTTTTAAGGCAACCTGTCACGTTTGCTTTTAAACCTTCGACCTTCGTTTTTACGAGAGTGAATTCAACGCCACCATTTCTGCCACCACATCGCAGCATTTCACTTCCAGTGTAAAGTGTTACCGTGGGTGTACCAGCACAGTGGCTGTCTCTTGTGGCTTACAGAGAGCTCAAGGACCCGTCTGCGTAATCTAACAATGAGGCTGACACGAGCGCTTGTCTTGTTTGCCACTCAACAGAAAGTCTTCAAGATCCCAGTCGACGAGCACCACAAGTCTATTCCTGCCACTCGTATTTACCACCACAAGTTCATGGTGACTGAAAACACGGCTTACATAGGTAAAGGACACCTTTACGGGCAAACACGACTGCAACCATACACCTATTACTCCCACGTAGGAGCATGAACCATCACCACTCAAACTCCGGTCATCTTCGCAGCAGAGGCGGCTTTTGGCTAACCATCGAGCAAAAACGGTTACCGCATCGCGCGCTTCTAGATGGGCTTCTGCGGCCGTCTGGAAAGCTCTTCCTTCCGATATTAGGAAGCCACTGGCGCTATGTACTTTTAAATCTAGATTGAAAACTCATTTCTTGAGAACCGCCTTTTGTGTTATGGTCGAAACGTCGTGAGAATTTGTATTGTTTTATATATATTTTATTATTTTGTTGTTTCCCTTCAACGTGACTTTACCGAAAGAACTAAGAATATAACCGCCTTTTGTGTTTAGTTTTGTTGTCCGTCCCTCTGCACCTCCGATTAGCACAGTGGGCTACGTACGGTGCGAACGAAGTTCAACATACATACATAATCATCAGCTCTAATAAAAGCAGTAGCATGATGGTCATTAAACGAAACATTTTTTTGACTGAGCTACAATCAGTCTACCACATTGCTTCGTGATATTTCTTAAAGGTTTTCACACAGCACAACACGATGAATAAACTAAAAACAAAGTTAATGTTTTATAATCGTTGAATATGCATGGATATTTACAATACGCAGCTTTTTACTTCGAATTCTAATAGTTTGAAATGTTAAATATCAGTGTCGCCCAGCACCGTGCATACGTGTGCCACGTTATAGTTTTGGCTTAAAGTCGGTGGGACGGTTCACACCCAGGTGTTGAGAGTTAATGTTCTGTCTCAACTTCTTATATAATCCACGCTCACCACTGGCAATGAGCATCACATAAGCCGCATTTTACATTTCTAATAGCCTTAATCTGTGGTTTATATGTTAAAATTGACACAAATGCGGTCAGGTGGCACTCCAGCACAATGCTAGACCCACACTTGGAAAGTTGTGAGTTCAGTTATCCAGTTTAGGTTCGGCCTGAGTGAGATAATGAGACCTACAGTGTGTACCTTAAACTTAATCACCTCGAATAAACTGCGGTGTAAATATTCTCCGAGCGCGTGGAACGAAACGTTGGACTTCACGTCAAGCAACACGAGCTACACAGCACAAGCGGCGAACATTTACCTGGTGACATTAATGCATTCTCTAGCCTCATCGTCTACTCCAGTGTCAACAGCCAACCTTCCAATCGCCTTCTTTTACATTCCCACCTAGGAACATCCAACTGGGCGGAGGACTACTTCATTGACACGGCCGGGGTCGGTCTGGTGATGAACGAGACCAAAGCCAAGCTCGGCGCAACTCAGGGACCTGACCAGGCTCCCTCGGGGACAGTTCGGGACCAGCTGGAGGCTGTGTTCTCCCGGGACTGGGACTCTGAGTACGCCCACAAACTGACCTCACGCTGGGCCATGCAGAACATATGTCGCTGAGCGTTGAACACGAGGAATCGGCCCTCCAGGGCAAGGGGATTTCTTGCCGAAAAATCAACACGTGAATGGACCAATGGAATGTGTGGTTGAAATTAAGTTTTGTTAACTCATGGCATATCTTGCGTTTGACTCCATTTTGACACTTAAATTTGGTTTGGTCACGCTCATTGTCTGCAGTCTCACCTGATTGACAATGAAGATTTAATGCGTGAAATTGAAATCAATTTGGAAGAATTTTTTACTTTAAAAAAATCCATCGAAAAAACAACACGTAATTTTCCTTATCAAGACCTTTAAAATTAAACAAGTGATTTGACTTAAGAGCATGCCTGCTACTTGCATATGGTACATAGCGTGGCACATTGGTAAAATGTGGTTAAAGAGTATAATATCCACAGTGCAGTGTTTTTTCTTTAAATCGCGCACAAATATTCAGAATGACAACCGTATGATGATTTAAGAATGGACAAAACAGCTCACGGGTAAAGGCGCTGATTCTTAAAGCGGTGATCTAATTAAACTTGAATTCAAAAATATGTTTTTGTTGTCACTGAATGTGGAAAACCAATCACTGTAAATGAAGCAGGCTGATTGCTATCGTGTCCACTATATTTTATGTTAATTACGAATGCAATGACGCATTTAAAACACTCATTACAAAGACCAATTTGCTCAATCTTTCGATTATCTCTCTGAATTCAAGAGCCTCACAATATGAAATTTGGATTCAACCTCAAATGGTAACATGGTACAGCTTCATGGGACACAACAATGATCTGGCCAAATACTTATCTGGGAAATTGTAAAAAAAAAATACAGACCACTGGATTTGGTGCAACATCGTATCCCATGAGTATACCATCACAAGTTCACTGGGTGAGCCAATTTAAACACGGCGAGCTGCATATGTAAGGGGTTGCATTTTTTCCCCTACTTTTCCAGTACGGTATATGTCGCTGTTGATGTTTATAAAATATGAATGTCGATGCAAAAGATTATTTTGGTTAATGCAGAGTAACAGTCCCAACGAGGGGCAGTATAGTTGTCTCAGCTCAGTATGCGTTTGCCTTGTAGGCGTTCTGCTGGTTGAGGAGAGAGGACTTTTCCAAGACAGAAATTGAGATGCACAGATGTACTTTGAACGAGAGTGTACAGGATCCTCTCTGGAGTATTCCACTTAGTCCAGGGGTCGGCAACCTTTCATAGAAGAAGAAGGACGTTGTTTTGTTTTTGACTTTGACCAAAATAGTTCGAGAGCCGCATCACACGCACAGCTACTTGTATACAGCAGACGACAAACACATTCTGACTTAAATAAACAAAATAAGTGACGGAATAAATTTTGTCTCCTTAGTTTTCCCCCCCCCCTTGAGCTATTCCTTAACAATGCAGTTTAAATTGTTGTAATGTCGTTGTCACCGAGACATTCAACAGTGACCCATTCCCAGTGCCGGATTAAGCTAATGCGGCGCCTGTAGCATATGTTATAAAGGGGCCTTAAATAACAAAATAAATTAAAACACGAAATTTTTACTTTTTAGTAAAGTAATTGGATTTTTGTATTTGCTATACAGCCAGATAATACGACAAATCGCTAACCTTAAACACCCAGTCATTCAAAAAGTTGAAGGCGGTATAGTACTATAGTAATAGAGCAAGTGCAGAATCACTGAACCGGAATTGATAGCTTGAAAGCATTTAGCGCGGGGCCCTTGAAAGTGCGGGGCCCGTAGCTACTACTATATATGTAGTAGTAGCTACTAGTAGTAGCTACTAGTAGTAGCTACGGGCTATGTAGTAGCTACTACTACATAGTACCTACTATGTAGTAGTAGCTACTTTTGTTACTACGATAATCCGACACTGCCCATTCCCTGCCATATTTTATAAATTATCTTTACCTTAAATTACGTTTAAAGATTTAAGTTTTTTTTTTAAACGGCTGCCCGCAATGGGGAAGCCAACGAGCCACCCCATGTGGCTCCGGAGACCCACCCGGTGTGCCCACCCGGTCTGCCCACCCGGTGTGCCCACCCGGTCTGCCCACCCGGTCTGCCGACCCCTGGAGACGCGTCACGGCCCGACACGAGAGCACGTTTGTTGCAATGGGGCCCCGACTGGTGCCAGGAGAATCGATAGAAGCAGAGCTGCGTTGAGCACGGAACTTTGCTCCAGCGCCTGAAACAGACCATTGCATATATATCGCAGTGCCTGAGAAAGTAATTGAAAATTCAGAAGCTCAAAAGACAACATTTTGTTAAACATTCCAGGGGTTTCCACACATTCCAGGTCAAGTTTTGCGCTTTGGAATAAATACGTTTGTGGAAGTGCACGCGTGTGAAAACCACTGTGGAGCTGAGGAAGGTGGTTGTTATTATGGCCAGAGGTTTACTATCACAGCATAGCCAGCACGTCGAGAAGAATTGGTGATGAGTAGGAATCTTTGTATTAGTTTTATAAACTTAAATCATTAATACAATTGAAGAGAATGACAATGGGAAACGCTAGGTTAAGGAATGATATAACTCAGGACAGAACGTAAGGTTTGTTACTGAATTTGTATCTGAAGATGTGGGGGGGGAGGAGGTGGGCGCGAGGCGAATCATAAATCAATGTCAAGCTATACTTTACTGTATGAGAAAAACGTTTCCTGCCTGGATTCCTGTCGGCTTGGCTGGCGCGCGGCCAAGTGCCGCCCTTCGTGGTGGCGGTCACCCGCATCCTGCCACACTCCACCCGGCCGTGTGCCCCGCGCAAGTGCAGCAGAAGAGCGAGATGGAGGAGGGAGATAAAAGTGGGCAGGGAGATAGAGGAGGGAGAGATGAGGGGGATTGAGCAGTGGTTCTTAACGTGGGGTGCACGCACCCCCTGGGGGTGCGAGACATGGGTGAGATTTGATTCGAAGGGAAAGCATCGAAAACACACGTTGTTTCATGAAACCTATGTATTTATATTCTTGGTTATTTCGGTAAAGTCACGTAGAAGGGAAGCAATAAAATAATAAAAATATAAAACAATATATTTTTTTATTTCATTGTTTCCCTTCTACGTGACTTTACCGAAATAACCAAGAATATGAATCCCTGCAGTCACGAAAGCTTTAAATCAAAACCTACGTATTTATGAACATTCTACATTTTTAACGATTGAAAACCAAAGGAGTGCAGGCTGCAGTGAACGGTTAAGAACCACTTAGATAGAGGAAGAAAATGTGGAGAAGAGAGTGGTGGTGAGAGAATGCCAGGGGCATCAAATGGGAAGAGAGCAAAACGTAAAGAGGAGAGCGAGGCCCAGCAGTGGAGAGGGAAGAGAGATTGGAAACGGAGAGGGGGGGGGGGTAAGGAGAGCGAGGGTGGACGAACCAGGGAGAGAAATAAGGGGAGTGGGTGAGACACACGAGGGAGGAGAAGGGACAGGAATAGAGACAGACATCGAGATAACTGGTGACGTGCGGTGAGCTCAATGGGTGGGAGGAGGCACTGGCTAGTATCAGAGACAGATTCACACACGGGGGGGAGGGACGTGGCCTCACGGAGGGGCGTGGCCTCACTGAGGGGCGTGTCCTCATGAGAGATTCGTTCATGAGGCTATCCACATATACAAACACAGAGACAATTTCAACCGAGATGACGGATTCTGGCTTAGCAATCATTGGAAGGATTTGATAAACTATTTCGGGTCTTAATTGATTGATCACGCTTAAGGTGGCTTTCAGACCGCATCCATTATTTTTCGTCTCCCACCTCCTCTTTTCTGAACAGAGATGGACTCGTCCATCTGAACAAACTGTCAAATCGCTCTCCGTGGTGCTAACGTTAAAAAACGCCACTTTTTTCAAATTTTCTTGTTGTGGTTTTCACACCTGATGATGATTGCTTGTGTTGCAGTCGAAAAGTCGTCAGAATTGTATTGTTTTATATTTTTATTATTTTATTTTTTCCCTTCTACGTGACTTTACCGAAAGAACCAAGAATATGAGGGGGGCGCGTTAGACACGTCCCCCTCAGTGAGGCAGATGTGATAGCTGCCTCCCCTGGTGCTTTTTCATTGTAGTTTCATGACGAGACCAGCGAGCCTAAATATATTTATACACATACGTGAAATAAGTTACCTGGCATATGGAAGGCGAGGACATGAAATGAAGGGGTCTACAAACATTACATTGGTGACATACTGAGATAGTAACAGGCACGCGCTTATTGCCCGCGCTCCATCCAGTTACTGAGGGGTTGCGCAATCACAGGGGAGGCTGAGCTCGTCGCTGCCTCACCTCTCGTCTCTTCCTGTATTTGCAGCGGAGCTCTGCAAATTTGGCGATTTTGACGATAAAAATGATTGGAATCGTACAGAAACGACATTTAGAACACAGATCAGTGGAAAAATCTTGATATTTATTTTATTATTCTTTTTTTTCGTAACAGCTATTTTCATTGGAGTATGACAGGTGAGGCTCTCACTCACCTGCCTCCCCTGACCGCACGTCCCTGATGTACACAAACCTCTCAACCCCTGACCAGTGTCCTACCTTATTACAGACCAATTCAGATCTTATTGGTCATCCCGTGCCCCTTATAAATCTCAACGTTCATCCTACAAAGTCCCATCACAAGGGAGAAACACAAACACATCGACCAAAAATATTGCCCGTATTGAAACGGCTGTACGCCGTATAGAGCTGAAAACTAAATTTCCCTGTACAAGATTACGGAGTAATCCGAATGGGTTGACAGGTATGAGAGAGACAGAGAGAAGTCGGGATCGCTGGGATGTCCACAGTACAGAGAAGCCAAGAGGAAGATGGAGAGAGACAAGGCTCTCTATATAACATTAAAAGTTTTGCTGGCTGGCTGGCTGTGAGACGGACGGTCACATCCGAAAGCCGTGCGGGTTTGCTATTTAAAATAAAATACATTTCTTGTGGCAAATGTTGGACATGACTCGAAAATAGCGTTCTACTGTGTTATGGGTACGACTCCTGGCTATGTCTTCTTTTTAAATAAACATTCGGATCGAGAGAGTATAACCGATCAGTTATCAGATGGTATTTCGTGCCAGCTTTTAATTATAAATATTATTACACACTTTTATTCAACGTGCCCTGTTTGTTTATATTCTTTCAAATCTTTGACACTTTAATATCTTCGGATCTACGAAGCCTAACTAGCTGACATTTTCTACACAGACTCGTCTCGCGTGAGAATTAAAGATTTCGTTAAAAAAGAAAAAGACCCGGTCCAGGTCCACGCCGATCCTGGGTTTATTCGTGTGCTTTATAAATAACTTCATTTCAATAACGAATACTCCACACATTACGCACCACCACCCCACCTCCCCATTTAAAATCTCGAATGGTCGCGCCCAGCTCCGAGTGCAAACGTCTCGTCCAATCAGAGCGGCTGCTGTTGCTGGGGGGCCTCTGACCAATGAGAGGCGCGCTTTCATCGCCGCTCGTCATGGCGCCGGAGCGGCTGCTGTGTTCGACTTCTCCCTGAGCGCGAGACCAACGATTAGCATAATTATAATTACTACCAGTGTTAAAATAATTACATAGTTATAATCGTAATGCATAGTATTATCATTTGCTCTGTCGCGCGCAACATCCACAGCGCTGAGGGCAACATGGTTATTCTCAAGTTGAGCGACCAGGTGAGAACCGTGGCCGTGATTTACAATTAAGTGCCCGAATGCTTATCCCAATTTTGATTGGCAAGATGTTCTAAGTATGATTGTAGATACAAATTCCTTAAGTTAAAGTGCTAAATCTGTGCACCTTGGATACAGTGTCACGGTGCATATTCGTGCATTGTTATAGCATTGCAGTAAATGTGTCTTACCTACTACTTTCATACAGTAGAGTACTTAATGGTCGCAAATACGACGATTGTTTTAAATGTCATTTCACTACTTTGCAATCGAGGTGATCGTTATTCTAATTGTAATAGCCTTGCCGCGTGCTAAGACCGGTGTATAACAATGCTCATGCTTTCATTTATTGTAGGGTCAAGGGTTGACATAGGCAAGCCATGATTGTCATCTCACATAGGGTCTAAAAATAGGTACCACTTTTGATTTAAAGCTTTCGTGACTGCAGGGATTCATATTATTGGTTCTTTCGGTAAAGTCACGTAGAAGGGAAACAATAAAATAATAAAAATGTGAAAGAATAAAATTATCACGACGTTTCGACTGCAACACAAGCAATCATCATCAGGTGTGAAAACCACAGCAAGAAAATTTTAAAAAAACTTGCCACTTTTTAAAAATTTTCTTGCTGTGGGTTTCACACCTGATGATGACTGCTTGTGTTGCAGTCGAAACGTGAGAATTGTATTATTT